TAAATTGGTTTTTCCACTTTCCACTCGTTTTATAAAAAAATATCAAATTTGCTATCAAAGTTGTTGCGTCATGGATTAAAAAGTGCTTAGCGAAAAAACAACAGTCCATTATGCAAAGTCATTAGATATTAGCGTCGCGTAATGCTGATTTAAAATTTCAGCTCATAAAAAGTTGCTATGGTTTTATATACGTTTTTTATTATTATATTTCGTGATAATATTTTAAAAAAAGTACAGGGTGGCCTTTCTTTTAAAGCGCGTTGTAAAAAGTAGATATCTGCTAATATTATAAAGAAGAAAGGCTGCAAAGCTAGTACTTAACGAATGTGAAAAATTCTGACAGCGGTGGGAAGCTATACTCACTCCGGTGAACATAGGCTATATTACATTTTGAAAAAGGCTAGGGATCTTACTATAACGTCTAGTTAACCCCAGGTGCAAAAAAATTACCTGAAAACTCCTTAAATAGCGCGCGGTGCTAATACTTTTTAGTATCGAACAAAATTACTATTATGTTATTCGATTCCGATATTCCATTTGAAAGATAACACGAATTTAAAAATGTAGTATTTTAAAAAAGTCGCGTGGTCGCAACATAATATGCGTTGTAGGCGCCATTGGACCATGAGAGCGGAGCTAATATCATGAAATAAAAAATTGCTCAGTTAGCTACCTACGAAGCGATGGCGTGCGGAATTAAATACTAATAATATTAAAAGATTGATGTCCACATCTCATCGTTTGTATGAGGTCCTCTTCACTCAAGTGGGCGAGTAATAGTCCGCTAATATTTAATATTTATCGTCCCAACTGATTAAGCTTGTTAGTCATTGATGCATTAGCACTGTGCAATTTTGACCAAAAATTGATTTTTACCTAAACTCCAAATGATCTCGAATTTTTTGAAGTAGATGAGAGATCATTAATATGAAGTTCATTAACAACCAGAATGCTCGAGTGAAATGACAGTCACTGTCGGCGAGTGCGTTTCTTAAATAGACAAGAGTCATAAAATCGCCGTGCTTCACAAAGTTTGGCTCTGAAGGACCACTTTGTGCCACATTTTGTAACATGATATGAATTTCTTTCAACATAAGTTGAAATTCATACAAAAAATATTTGCCAACCTTCAAATTCACTGGAAATGTTATCAAATATTTGCTGTCAAATTGAGTTGACATACACTAACCTCAAAAATTTCCAGATTTTACAGCTTCCCACTCAATTTTGTTGGAATTATTTGAAAAGCTAAGCAAAGGCAACTAATACTTGGCATATTGCCAAATTCAAGCCATGCTTTCATGTTGGAATCAAAGTTGTCGGGTAAACAGTCGAAGTTTTTCGAACCTTCCGTCTTCTTACTGTTGCCAAAAAAAGTGGCAACTTGATGATGCACCTTGTATGTCAGTTTTACAGTAATTTAAGGAACATTAAAGTCACACTAAACTTCAATATTTTAGTCAATATGCATTTCAGCAAATTTGGAAAACAATAGTAAGGTATATATAATATATAATAAGTGTTAGCATCAACGTAAGAGAGGCCTGAGTCTTGCTATTAGTATTGAAAAACAAATATTTTCAGTAATGTTGAACAAATTTGTATTAAAAGGAAATGTTTCGAAATGATATTTTATGTTAGCGTCATTTTTGAAATTTTTTATATTTTAGTTACGTATTTTTTATGCTTCGAAGTTAAACCCGAAAAGTATGCTTTTATCAACTAAACTTCGCTTTCAGAATAAAAAGCGTTAGATTGTTAACAAAAATTTTTCTTTAAAATTAAATATTCACAAAATTTATTACTAAAATGTCTATATTTCAATTTTCCCTCTGTAGTTTCACTGTTTAGAGAAGTTATTTATTTGAAACACTAAAGGTATGCTACAATATATGACCTTGTAAGGAATAAAAATTGTATAATTTTAATTCTGTTAAAGAAAATTTTCTTTGAGGTGTTGAGAAGCTTAATTTACTCATATGTATACATATAAATCAATTATGGGAGGAAAACATCCTGTAGTGTCGAAGTTTAGTGAAGTAATATAGTACATTTGAAACAATAAAGGTATGCTGCCAGATATATGAACTTGAGTTAAAACCTCATAATTTTATAAACTTCATGTATATAGAGGGCATTATTTATAATCTTTAATTTGGTTTTTGGATTTTGTTTACCATTAGTTAAAGGTTTAAGCTTACTAAGGGACAGTAATTCCTAAAATATACCCATTATGTACCTTTATATTAAAGAAAGAATCGCAGGTCCTCATATATGAAAATTTTCAGCTAAGTATGAAGAACATAGAGCTAATAACCTTAAATGAAGATAAAATTAATTGCATACATTTAAGTTATAATTCTGGTTAATTTTTGAGATATAAAACCGAAAGTTCCTAGCAACGATTAATTCTTGAAAATAATCATAGTAATAGTGCCACAGATATCTCTGTATTTCTTGATAAAATTAACCAATCAATCTGGCAACAGGAAGTTACTTGAAAATTGAATTGTAATAAATCTCGACATCGTGACACTCGCAAATTGCATTCGCACGCACACACACATCAATGCATACATATGTATGTATGCCATGCACAACATGCATGTGCAACACTTGATCTGGCAACTGTGTGGCATTGTCTGCTGTCAGTTAAAGTTATTAATTTCATTTGCGCAGCCCCAGCTGTCACATCAGCAGCTGTCAGACGCGGGTGCGGACACACACACACATATATATATTATATGTTGAGAAATACATATTCACATACACACATGTACGAGAACACTTGAAAAAAGCGTGCAAATGGCATATTCCCAACGAGTAGCCACATTAACCACAAATACGTTTACAACGACAACAACAGCAACTACACAGAATACAGTCGACGTTAATAAATCGAATAAAAATCGCACCGAGTGCCGACATGCCACCGATGAGTAACACGCGTTTTCATGTTACAATGGATTTTTTATGCGCTTTTATTGTTGTTGCACCATTTTATTGTTGTTTTTTTGCATTTATTTTGTTGTTTTTTACATTTTATTTTGTTGTTGCGTGTGCTTTTTTTCTTGTTTTCGTGGCACTTATTAATAAATGTAGACACAATAAATTTGTAACAAATGTGCATTTGTATGAGTGAGTGCTTTATTTGTTGCATAAAATTATATCTCACTACTATATATATATATATAACTATGTATCCGCTTGTGTGTTATTGCCGCCATGGCGTATGCCGCTGACAGTTGGAAATGTTGCAACTCAAGCAGGTGCCAACAACAATGGTGCGGTGCGGGTCGGCAGGAAATAACGGTAGCGAAATTAACTTAATGCATTTTTAATTTTATTCATTTGCAGTTCTTTTCAACTTTTTTGGATTTTATAATTTTATTATTTGTTTTTGTTGTTTGTTTGTATTATAAATACGTTTGTCTGTTTTAAATGGCAACTAAATGCTATAATTATATTTAATAAATTGCAAAAATAGCGTGTAAATTTATCAAGTACTTCTGTGTGTGTGTATGTATAGAAAATATGTGTGCGTGCATGTTGCTGGTTATATATATTTTTGCGTCTATTTGGCAGTTGGCTGGCAAAATATTTAAATTTTAAAATTTTTTGTAGCAAAATAATTGAAGCTGATGTCTTTAGAGAGAAAGTATCTGGTATTTACCTTCATGTTTTAACCCACAGTGAAGTGAACTAGTTTAGGTAGCTTACAAAACTACCTTCCTTGTAATTAGTATGACCCTAAGGTCCAAATTGTCATCCGACAATCTTCCCTCCAAACAAATAATTGATACCTTTTAGCTATTGCTGTCCGGCGAGATGAAAATTGTTACTCTCATGGCAACCTATTGTGCCGATATAGGTCTAATATTGCTTTAAATATGGTCGATAACGGTCAGGCGCTCCTGTGCCTCAAAATTTTATTTAGCCAGTCGACGATTATATGAACTCATAAAAAAAAAAATTTAATGATTACACGTTTATTTTATTTTCGACTAGACACTTCTAGTTTTAAACTGCAGATATGTCTCGGAAATATGGTTACGTTCAATGTTGTTTCTACCCTCATCATTTTATTGACGTACTCCCTCTCTCTCAGAGCTAAAAAATGTCTGACAAGTTTTGTTTCATTGCAGCATTCCTATTTAAAAGTTGGTGGTTTTCTCGAATGATTTGAATTTCATTTCAAGTAAGTTAAGCATAGTTATAAAGTGCTGGAAAAGTATGCGCAAGATAATGTCAAAAACTTGTACAAGCATTTTTTTTTAGAACCTTTATCTAATTTGTTCCTGCATGACTTGTTGTTCTCTTTCATATAATATGTGTTTATTTGTGCCGAAAAAACATTAGATAATATTTTGGTGATTATTTATTACAATATATGTAAAAGCTTAACATCCAAAATATGTACATAATATAAAATTATGAAAAAATATACTTTACACTGAGTGTAAAAAAAAAAAACAATTTTTTTATTCCTTAGTTTAACATACTACTGTTTGAAGACTATTGATTTAATAAAAAATAATTTTTTTCGAAATTTCAAAATCTGCCTATATTGATATTCAGTTTATCTTTAAAAGAGTTTTTCCCGGAATTGCTGCAGTCATTACTCGGAGACGGTTTTTATTTAAAAAAATTTTTTGTTTGCATATTCTCTTTAAATATGCCTACTTCTATAGCTATCCAGATCATCAAAAATTATCAAAACTTTCGGTAAAATACACTTTTCTTTAATTTTCAATTCTTTGTTCTTTACGATCTTAGAACATTGTATGGACGAAATCTTCTCGGCAAGATTTTTTTTTAAGTTTTTTTTTAAAGGGCAAGGTCGCAATTACTGGAGGCTTTTCTTTGCGTTTTTTAATTTCGTTGGAGATTGCGAAAAACTCGCAAAATATTTAATTATTTTCTTTTCTAAATTTTTACGGTGACTCTTAAAATATGATACAATTTACCCTTTAAATTTCAAAGCAATGACCCCGTAGTAGTTTTTTTTTTTTTACCGAAAAATCGCATTTTCTAGGCTGTTACACTAAGAGTGCCCCTTAAAACCAAAAAATTATACCACATGCTTGAAACGTGCAAAGCAAAATCTTCTTAATTACCTGGCTAAGATGTGTTAAATGCATTTCTCAAAGCATTTTAGTATTTACCTTCTTCCATCACCTTGCAATTTTGCAATTGGAACTCCCAAGTCTATCTGTTGTGTAAACTTTGATCGGAAGGAAGCTTCTTTTTTTAAGCAGTCGTATTAAAGACCGGGGTTTAGGTCCTCAACACAACTAAATGGGTCTACAAAGTTATGGATCGTTGATCACCATTTAAAAGCAAGATTCCGCTAAGAATTACAAGGCTTTTTCTAATAAGATATCAACATATTTTGGAAAAGTAGCATAGATTTAAGAATCTGTACATTCAATTACTTTCTTCTATTCTTTCCAAAAATTCTATCCAAGAATTTTTTAGCATTTGAATGAATCCTGAAAATAGTACTGTTTTTTATGTACGCTTTGGCATTAATACTTATAAAAGGATTACTCGGAATTTCGTTTTAAAATTATTAAGTTTAGAATTAGTTTTAAATTTCAAGAGTTCAAGCGGTTTATTTACTAAAAAATGCTTTTAATACGAAAAAAAACTAAAGAAATTTCTTAAAACAATCTGATTTACATTTAGAACATTAGAAACATATTTCAACCAACACTTCATAGCAGTTTCAGTCATGGCCAATCAATGCTAACCTCTGATGTTTATTTCATTCTTAAGGCGAAAAACATATAAACATAGCTTTATTCCTTTATTTCCATTGCAGTACATGTACAATCATGACTTTTCAATCAAAATTTCTAATTTTTAACTTAAACTGAATACGGAAAACATAGAAATATAGAATTTAGGTTCCTAGAAACAATACCATGGTAGTGACTCCATAAAATAAGTGTTTCCATTTTCAGTCCTTGTGTACCACAAATGTAAATACAAAGCCTATTTTCAAGTATTTAAAAAGCCATAGCGTAAGACTGCAAACTTTGAAATAAAAAATATTTGAAAAAAATGTTAAAACGCCAAAAATTTTCAGTTTACATACGAATTTGTGGAATTTTCATAATATTACTGATTATAGCAGTGAAAAATTGATTGAATGCATTAACCTTGGCGCTGCTAGTCACATTCCACATCATAGTTGTAATTCTAAAAATCGTGCAGAAAAAAAGAGACATATACAAACAACCCTGATCAATAACAACTAGATGAAGTCATGTCTGCTATTTTAAATACTGCGCCTACTACACTACACAAATTAAAAATAATTTTTATTTCCACATAAATATGTGTTAATTTATGCTTACACCACCACTCTACACACACACTTAACTCAGATGGAATTGCAAACGTTTGAAATATGTCAAAAATTACAGTCACATCGATTTGTTTCATTCACATATCAAATTAAAACGACTATGAGTTATGCAACAAGCTGTTAACTTGTGTTGAAAAATGCGAATATGTTTTGGTATCTAATTAACACACTTATGAAAATGGCGCATATCTCAAGCACAGCTTTGCATAACTTTGACACTTTGTCGACAATGCTAGATGAGTGTACGAGATAAGCTCTTATTGCAACTGGTGTCTCTTTACAAAGGTGTATATAAAATATATGACAATTCACCACTTGAAAATATATTGTAAGCGGAATTGTTATTGATGCATTTGTTGCAGCACAAAGCGCTACAGTTGCCACAACTGTCAAAGTGAATGTCAAATCGACTCAATTGAAACATAAATTATGATAATTCCACTTTAAATATTTGAATGACTTTTTATAGGAGAATGCCTGGGTGTGTAATATTTGAAAGAGACACATATGTTGATGCAGGGAAACAAGAGCGAACTGGGTTGTCATTATTACGAATAAAATATTGAAAATTATTTTTCACAAAATTTAATATTTTATATTACTTCTATTTATTCAAAATATAAGAAAAACACTTTAGCCAACAGTTTCTACTATTGTAGTTTCAGTTAAGGCCGATCAACGATAACTTCAAACTTTTATTTCATTCTCAAGGCAAAAACATAGAAATATTTGAGCTTTATTCCTTTACGGAACAATTCCAGTTCAATTGCAGTTATGACTGTTCAACCATAACCTCAAATTATAAACTCCTTAACATGGAGGTCATAGAAACATAGAATTTAGCTTCTAGAATTTATATTTTTGATATTAATGAGCTCTATTCCTTTGCGGGACAATTCCAGTTCGGTTTCATTCATGACTCTTCAACTATAACCTCTAATTTTACACTTCACTTAATATGGAAAACATGAAAACATAGAATTTAAGAATTTAGGTTCCTCGAATTTTATATTTCAGCTTATTTGAATTTAATTTTTTTAAATAATAAAATTGTTTACAAAATTTTTGTGCTGTGGCAACCCTATACCAACACCCTACGCAACAAATAATACATTATAAACACCAAAAATCTTGGGAACAAATGACTTTCATTGTATTATAACAATACCTCTTAACAGAYGCATTTACAAAAATAATAATAGCAACAATTAAAGTCAACTTGTAACCAACAACAACAACTTAAACCCAAATATGTTAAAGGGCTGGTAAATTAAGATGACAACAAACGCTTTCGGTGGTCGCGCATGCAGCACATGACATCGCACAACAACAACAACGCAACATGAAAATTTTAAAGTAGAAATTCCAAAAATCTTTGTAACTTTTGTTATAGCTACAAAACCAAGCTAAACCAGTCTGGCCAAACCAGGCAAAGCAAGTGACACAGAGTAGCCTCTGCTGCATGCCAAAAGCGGGTGCTCCAATTTTCCGCTATCTGAAATCGGTAAATGCTGGTTGAACGTTGCCGCTGCACTCGATTTCTCGAATTTCGGCGTAAATTTTGTGGCATTGCAAGTCGATGCCGTACAGCTCGTATCGCGACGCAAGCATACGTGCCACTGCTCCATTTATTATATATATATATATGTAAATGTACATATTATATGTATTTAAGTATTTATCTGGCGTGTCGGCGTAACACTGTCAGTCGTGTGACCGTGACCGTGATACTGTAAATCATGTTGGGCGGTCGCCTGTTTGGACGCCCACTTTGGCTATTCATAATGTTAGCTACGCTTGCTGACAGTTAACATTTAAGTTGTTGTTCAGCTTTTGTTGCTTTTATGCTTGTTATTCGGCATTTAGTTGTCGTTATTTGTTATAAATGTATTTCTGTGATTTCGTTGTTAAATATATCTTACTTATATATTGTTTGGGTTATTTGTCTTGATTTTATGCCCTTTCTATTACATGTTTCATGTTCGAATGTCAGCTGTTGATTTATAAAATCGAAAATCGCTTTTCATGTGATTTAAATTTTAAAGTGAAATGGATATTAATACACATATTCAAGTTTTGAAATTCCGAGAAATCCATATTTCGGGAAGCGACTATCAACAGTCATTTTAGCATTCAAAATCCCAACGATAGTCAATGACAGTGTCATTTAGATTATTTCGGTCACACACTGTTTCATAAAATCTTTGATACAATTTTGAGCAGATAGTACTCGAACTTAATTTTTTTTTTTTTTAATTTTCAAATTTCAAAAGAGTTATTAAACTATTCGAAAGTTTTTAAGTTGAGTTAAATTTTGAAAATTTGTTTAAATTTTGTAGGTTTTTTTGATTTAAATTATTAAGAGTTAAAATCTTGAAAATTTTTAACGAAAATATATTCAAAATTTTTTATTTAATCATAAGACATC